CGCGTCCGCGGGAGACGCGAGGTCATAGGGGGACCGATCGTATAGTGTTCGTGGTGCGGTAAATACGGTCCATCCGGATAATCGGCAGGAGATAGTAAATAGAGAATAAATTACAGTATGCATATTACTCACAGCGGGGTTTGAGCAGAGAGTTTACTCGAAATGAAGCGTAGATGCCTCGTTGTTGAAGTCGCCATGCGTCCCAGAGCCGATGGAGGGCACCCCTCCGACGGGCGTCGGAACGAGTGCCTCCTCGCGGAGGTGTAGTACGCCGAGCAGGTCGACGATGAAGTCTAGGCTTCCGAAGAGGAAGGCCTGGGACGGCTCGAAGATGGGTGGAGCCCACATCCCAACCGGTGGGAGTGCGGGAAACTCTAGTGAGCCGAAGCGAGTCGTATCACTTGAGCCCGCCATGGCGAAGGTGGTGGGAAAGTGGGCCATTCGATGACCAAAAAGTGTTGAACGTACAAAATCTTCCCCACGGACGGCGCCAACTGTCGGTGCAGAAAGTGGCCAACAAGTAAATATTTGTAGTTTTGCCGTACGTTGTGATTGGAGGTGGCCTAGTACTCAATGACACAGGGTTTATACTGGTTCAGGAAACATGCCGTACGTCCAGTTTGAGTCGGTCGGTGACTTTATTCCTGAGCCCAGGTGCTCGAAGTTTGCAGTGGGGTTACAAACAAGAAGGAGAAAGATGGGGAGTACAAGAGGTCCGATCGGACTCCGGTCGGAAGGGCCGAGAGCGATAGGAGCTCCGCTATGAGCTAAGTGTTCAAGCGTGTGCTTGGGGTTCGAACCTGGCGGTTCTGTGGTTGTGAACTAGTGCACTTGATCGATCTAATGAATTTGAAATCACTTGAATCGACCTGGATTAACTGAGTCTCTTAGGAGAGAGCGCATCCCCTTTTATAGATGAAGGGGATGGCTTTACAAGTGAGAGGGAGAGAGTACGTATGCTTCTAAACCTTGTTGCCCACGCCGGCGGGTACATGATGATGGTAGACGCCCACAACACTGTTGGATGTTGGATGCACGTGGGAGGCGGCGTCATTTTGTTCGGGTATGGCAGATGTCGGTACCTGCTATACTGTTGATGCCCAGAGGCATGTGAGGAGTTTTACCATGTTCACTCGGTATGGTAAATGCCGACGCCTACAACACTGTCGATGCCCAGAGGCATGTGGGGGAGCCTTACCGTATGAGAGTTAATGGCGTCACAATATTGTAGGCAAAATATCGGCGCCTACAATACTGTTTGTGTCAGGACGGTTGCAGAGTACTGTTTCTGCAGGTGTACAGGGTATGGTCCTTGATATTGTGGTTCGACTTGTGCGCCTTGCCTTGCTTTCTCCGTTCGTTCCCTGGTCCTTTTTGGGCGGGCGTCCCCGGTCGGTCGGTCCCAGTCGGCTCTGATTGTGCTAGTCGGAGAAGAGCAGTGAGCAGGGTTTTTGCGTACCCCAGTCGGGGACGTCGGGTCGGAGTCAGAAGCAGTGTTTTGGCCAGGCCTTCCAATCAGAGAGGCCGTCCAGAGGCGAGCTGGAGATCGAAGTGAGCGCTTCGGTCGGAGAGGAGGGCTGGAGTTGGAAAACGGGCGATGTTCCTACTCGGCCAGGCCTTCCGGTCGGTGATTGGATCGCCCTTCTGGCCTGTTGTTCCGATACTTGAGCCGACCCATGAGTTGCGCGTTTGGCTGCTTGGGCTGAGCCTTGGTTGGGAAGCCGGTCCGCAAGGGACCCGGGTTTATGAACCCGACAAAAAGTATACAGTAGGAATGTTTGGAGGCAAGATGACTGTTTGCAGAGGTCGGGGATTGACCTAAACATCAGGAAAAATTGAATGGAACCTCCAAACTAATGGTATCATCATGCTAAAAAAATTCAGATGTTAAAATTATTGTCTGAAAAATTGAATTAACTTTTGAGCAGTTGTACTTTCTCGGCATTATCAATGGGTGATGCCGCCTATTGGTTTCATCAATCAATTTATCACCGACAGGAGATGACCTATGTGCAGACTGTGTATATTTTAGATGGCAGTTCATAGTGGCCAAACAAAAAATATATTTTATGACTGATCTTGGCAGCTGTTCAGAGGACCTGTATTCTTTGTCCTATCTTGAAACGAAATTAATTGGTAGATTTAGAGGATAAGGCTCAACTGATAGAAGTAACTGCTACTCACCTGCTGGTCTGACAGTGGATGCCATCTCTATTGAAAATGAAGATCTTTTGAATATGAAGATATGTAAATTCGCACAAAAAAAAATCGAAGCTTAGGCATGGATCGGAATACAAATAGCCAAATAGCATAGGTTAGGGCTTGGGCGCTCTGGTTTCATGCAGCAGTAAGGGAATAGAAGGGGTGGTCATACCTGGTGGAGCGCCCGTCGAGAGGACCTGGGCACCTGGCTTACGGTGGCGCGCTGCTCGCCGAGCAGCTGTCGGTACCGTGGGGATGCAGATAAGTAGGGCGCGGGCGCAGAGAGATGTCCCAACCTGTGCCCGCCGCAGCTGGTCGCATATGTGGCGGCGGCGGCGGCGGAGGAGACGCGAACTGGGACAGCGGGGGAGAAGCGAATGGGGTAGGCGGTGGGTTTCTGCGGAGGCCAATGCAGCGACGGCGGCGGTGTAGACGGGGCCACACGGGCGGAGACAGCAGGGAGGAGCAGACGGGGGAGGGTGCGGGAGCCGGTTGTTTTTATTTGGGCCAGGGAAAGAGGCTTCTGGAAGCAAGACTGGCGATGTTGTGGACGTTGATGCGAAATCGGACGGTCTGAAAAAAGCGGTGACGTGGCTAGATGTGAGATCAAAAAATGGTGTATACAAATGGTAGATAAGTCGTTTCAACTTTTTCGTAGAGTTAAAGCATCTCAAATTTAACTAAATTTATTATACCAAATTATTATCATTTGATTCTTCATTAATTATATTTTTATAGTATACTTATTTGATGTCATAAATCTTTATAATTCTCTTTTATAATTTTGGTCAAACTTATTAGTTTTGACTCTCAAAAAATTAAAATAACTTATAATTTAGAACGAATGAAGGGAGGAGGAAAGAAAGACGAGCAGAGGGCCTGAAGGAACCTGGAGCAGCCGGTGGGCGGCAGCCCAACGAGCCTCTCGGGCTCTCGACAACGTGCCATGCTGCTCCCTGGCTTCATGCTCTCCTGCTCCGCAGCCTCACGTCGTCGTAGAAGAACGCCAAGTCGCCTCCCCGTCCTGCTGTCAGTGTATTATGCATCCTTGCATCCGCAAGAGCGCCGCCGGCCACCTCCGTCATGCTCGCGTACTCCTCGCCTCGTCTAAGGCCCCCTTTAGATCTGTAGCATTTTATTTATATTTGGTAATTAGTGTCTAATTATGGATTAATTAGGTTCAAAAGTTTCGTCTCGCGATTTCTCACCCAACTGTGCAATTAGTTTTTTTTTCGTCTACATTTAGTACTCCATGCATGTGCCACAAGATTTGATGTGACGAGTACTGCGCAAAATTTTTTGGAATCTAAACAGGCCCTAATAGTGCAGCACCAACGGCAAGTCCACCACGACGGTGGCCTCCGAAGAGCTAGGCATAGAATGTTCTGTAGCGAGCCGACGATCTGTGACGGGCGATGCAAATCGGGACAGAGAAGCACGAGATCCAGATGCACAAGGAAACGCCAGGTTGGGAGCGGGCGTTTTGCCCTCGAGGCAAGTGATTCAGCCGGGCGACTGATGGGCAGCCCGCTTGGTTCTCTCTCCTCTCTTCTCTCTCTTCCGCATCAGATTTTGATGACATAGAGCACCTTACAGCCTGTTGAGTAGGATTTATTATACTTCCTCTCGACCTTTGCTCTGGCGTACAGACCTCAGCGTAGACTCGTTCTCTACCCCTCAACGCGCGCCAGAGTGATAGCCTCAGCCTTTTGTCGGATCATATCACTGCTGCTTCTGCAAGCAGCTATGCCACCTGCTAGACCACCAACGGGCTTGATATGGATACTCAACGCTGATATGTAAGTTGTGGCAGCATGACACCACGTTGAGTTGAAGAAGCCCTAATAGTGACAATGATGAGTCCAAGGCACAAAGCATGAAAAAATTTTTAGATGCAAACAGTATCCACGGTGCCTACGTGCATACATGCTATGGATATTTGCTATCTGTCCGATCAACACAATCCAACTGCGCATGTTGGAGATGAAAAAACAGCGAGCGTGGGAACCACGATCCGCATGCGGAGTCTGCGAAGAATCTCCTAAACACACGGTCAGTTCGTGTTGACGGGATATATAGCAAAAATATATGTACAGACACACGGAAGGCCACGTTTAGTTCCAAAACCAAATTCCTAAAAAGTGCTACAATACCTATCGCATCGAATCTTAAGATACGTGCATAGAGCATTAAATGTAGACGGAAAAAAAAACTAATTACACAGTTTGGTTGGAAATCGCGAGACGAACGTTTTAAACCTAATTAATCCATGATTGAACACTAGTTGTCAAATAAAAACGAAAATACTACCGTGACTAAATTCCCAAATTTCACCCAAATAAACACAGCCTAAGCAGCACATGATATCCGGGGCCGTCCACGCGGAAAAAAATCCGTCCACGCAACGCAAGGCACGCAAGCAGACACGGGTCATTTTTGGGGTGCAGCGTGTCCGGGTCCAGGGCCAGCCGGCTTTTACACGCGGCCTGCTCCGTGTAACGTCAGCGGCTCAGCGCTACGGAACTGCTCCGTGTAACGTGGGCCCGTCCGTGAATGCACGGTCCAAAATATCAGTGGCCACGTCAGCACTCGAAGCGCTCCCGCGCTCGGTCACGTGCCCCTCACGCGCTGCACTAGGGTTTCTGCAGCATACCTACAAGTACTCGAAACCCCGTCCGCTCCCCCCCTCTTTTCCGGTTGCGCCTTCCCCTCGCAGCCGCCAGCCCTCAACGCCCCTACCAGCAGCCACCGCCCATTACCCTGTGATGTCGCCCGCCCTCGCCGCTGCCGTGGAGCCCATGGCCGTCGACGACTCTGCCTCCAAGAAGGCCAAGCGCAAGCAGCTCAAGGCCGCCGCGGAGGCGGAGGCGGAGGCCGCTTCGGCCAAGAAGAAAGAGAAGAAGGAGAAGAAGCGGAACGCGAAGGAGCCGTCCCCTCCGCCCCCGTCGGCCTCGTCCTCTGACGAGGAGGAGAAGAGCAGCACCAGCTCCGAGGAGACAGCCCCCGCCCCGAAGAAGGCGAAGAAGGAGAAGACGAAGAACAATGCTGAGGTCTCGTCTTCAGCCTCAGATGACGACGGCGAGATCACGGCCAGCAGCGACGAGGACCCCGCGGACCCGAACGCGCTGACGAACTTCAGGATATCGGAGCCGCTGAGGCAGAGCCTCAGGTCCAAGGGGATCAAGGCGCTGTTCCCCATCCAGGCCACCACTTTCGAGCTTGTACTCGACGGCAGCGACTTGGTTGGCCGAGCGCGCACCGGTCAGGTGAGAAGCAGTTCCGAATTGTGATTCGTTTGGTTGATTTACAAGGTGCATGTACAACTCTTTGAATTGCTAGACTGTGTTCCTGCTCGTATACTTGAATGCAATGCTTGCTGAGCGATATGGAAACTTTTCTGTATCTGTATGAATTCCAGTAGAATTATGGTACCTGTTGATTTTGAACAACAGATGGTCGCATTGTTTTGCTCTGCTTGAACAGTAGTAATGCATACGATAGCTTGGTGGTGAATGGCTGTTTCTGACAGTTAGCTAACCCTTCTATTCAGTATAGAATTATGATTATGTAGTACTGGATGAAAATATTTGCAAAAAATCCCCTGAATTTCTAGTTATGATATACTTGACAAGTGGTGGCGATGAGCAACACCATTGCTCTTCTATAGTATATGTTTCTCTGAAAACCTGTATGACAGAAGTGTTATTTCCTACAGGGAAAAACTTTGGCTTTTGTCTTGCCCATATTGGAGTCTTTGGTTAATGGGGCAAACAAGGCATCTAGACGAACTGAACATGGCAGGACCCCAAGTGTTCTGGTTCTGCTACCAACAAGAGAGCTGGCCAATCAGGTAAAAAGTCGTATCCATATCTGATTCAAGAGATTGGATTCTTTTGTACATGTTTTTTTGGTCATAAATGCATCATTAAAATGAATTTCAGGTGCATGCCGACTTTGAGTTTTATGGTGCAACATTTGGGCTTTCTGCATGTTGTGTGTATGGGGGTTCTCCTTATCGTCCACAAGAAATGGCATTGAGAAGAGGTGTGGACATTGTTGTTGGAACTCCTGGTCGTGTCAAGGTGATTATCTTGTCTTTCTTGTATCTCCATCCCATTGCATTGTGAGCTTATTTTCTCCTTCTCTTATGTGTGCTACATTACTTGTGCAGGATTTCATTGTAAAAGGAACTCTCAATTTGAAATGTTTGAAATTCCGTGTCCTTGATGAAGCTGATGAGATGCTTAACATGGGCTTTGTTGATGATGTCGAGCTCATTCTTGGTATGCTCATTTGTCAGTTTCTATGTATTGTAGGTTCTTATATACTAATGTTTCATTTTTGAGAATATATATTAGTACAAATGAGCCAACTATTTTCTTTATATACTTTTTTATTTACTACTCACTTTCTAATTTTTAAATGGATCAATTAACATGGTTTTCAAATGGAGCATTTAACAGCGTTGGTTAACTTTCTGTTTGATATATTTAATCACTCCCTCTTATATATGACCAGGCAAGGTAGAAGATGCTACCAAAGTACAGACACTTCTGTTTAGTGCCACTCTGCCAGATTGGGTGAATAAGGTAAGATCGTTTTTTATAGGACTTTCCTATTTTAAATATCTTTCCAGCATTTCTGTGAACTGACAATGTGTTTCGGAATTATCATAGCTCTCTATGAGGTTTCTGAAAGTTGACAGGAAAACAGTTGATCTTGTCGGTAATGAGAAACTGAAGGCCAGTGCATCTGTTAAGCACCTTGCTCTTCCTTGTAACAAGGCAGCAAGGGCACAAGTTATTCCAGACATTATCCGATGCTATAGCCAGTATGTACTACCCATAGATGGTCATCGTTTTTCAGTATGCTGTTTGATTTTAGTTGACTTTGCTAAACTTTTCTTTGCTTCAGTGGAGGCCGAACCATTATCTTCACTGAGACGAAGGATTCTGCATCAGAGCTTTCTGGTTTGATTCCTGGATCCCGTGCCTTGCATGGAGATGTTGTGCAAGCTCAGCGTGCGTGAAGTATGTGAATTTTCTTTGATCACATGTCAATATGATAATATAATTGACTAATCTGCAATACTGTCTGTATAACATGCCTTTCTGAATGTTATTGGCATGTGCGCATTGTGTTTATAATTCTTGCTAACGTGTAATACTACTGACATTTAATGTATATACCATTAAAAAACAGAAATGTTGTTCTAATCCTTTATGCAGCTGAACTCCATTCTTTATAATTCAACACTATCAACTGTTATACTCAGTTTTAAATTTTGTTTGTCAATCTTTTTATTGATCTGCCCGACTATTCACACTGTTGTAATAGTTGCAAGTAAAGGTGCAGATATTTGATGTGTTTTTGGATGATTTAGGTCATTCTTGCTGGATTCCGTGAGTGGGAAGTTCCAAGTTTTGGTTGCTACAAATGTGGCGGCTCGTGGTCTGGATATTAATGATGTGCAGCTTATCATTCAGGTATGGCTTGTTTTGCAGTTCAGTAATTTCTAATAGCTAGGCTTGGTCTCCAAAAAAATGTTGTACGCAGGCCTTTGCTTGATTAACTACTTACCGCTTGCATTTAAAACTTCCAGTGTGAACCTCCCGTGACGTTGAAGCTTACATACACCGGTCTGGTCGGACAGGGAGAGCAGGTATGCTAAATATTATGATGCTTATTTGTGTAAAGTATTGTTTACAATTGCTACCTTTAATGCGACCATTTGATTTTCAGGTAATACTGGTGTTGCTGTCATGCTTTATGAGCCCAGATATAAGCACAGTGTGAGCAGACTAGAAAGGGAGTCGGGGGTTAAGTTTGAGCATATCTCTGCGCCACAACCTACTGATGTAGCACAATCTGCTGGCAGTGAAGCTGCGGATGCCATTGCGAGTGTGTCAGACAGGTAAGATATTTCCATGATCATTTTAGGACAAGCATGTTCCTTTTGCTTATTGGTTTGTCATTAAGCATGTGGATGGGTGTCGTGCAGTGTTATTCCTGTCTTCAGGCAGCAAGCAGAGCAGTTGCTAAGCTCTTCCAGTCTGTCTGCAGCTGATTTGCTTGCCAAAGCACTTGCAAAGGCAGTTGTAAGTTGCTTTCTCGTTCTACATTTCCAGGTTTCTGCCCTGCTCTAGATACTGGCAGTTGTAACTAACAGAAATATGTACCTTAGGGTTACACGGACATAAAGAAAAGATCATTGTTATCTTCCATGGAGGATTACACTACACTACATCTTCAAACTGGCAGACCAATGTGGTCACCTGGGTAAGTGGCTGGTAATTTATGCTTCTGGTTCATGAGGGTCCTCTGATCTTTTGATTAAATGGATATCCTTTTCTGCCTGCAGGTTTGCTTTTACTATATTGAAAAGGTTCATGCCAGAAGAGAAACTTGCAGATGTAAAGGGTGCAACCCTCACTACTGATGGAACAGGGGTTGTATTTGATGTTCCTGCAGCAGATGTTGAAGACTACATTCAAGGTATAATGGACCTTCTCTTGTTCGTCAAATAATTATCGACTGGTTTAAGCATGAAAATATTTTACTGCTGTGTAAAATCCCTGGAATCCATTTTCTTATTATGCAATTCAAATAAGGCAGTTGAAGTGTCGTTGTACTATTTTCTAAAATCCAACTATGATAGCTTATTGCATACGGGGCTCCACTCTAAACACTACATGATCTTGCAGCTTCGGAGAATGCCGCACAGGTGACAATTGATGAAGTCAAGCAACTGCCACCCTTGCAAGAGAAGGAGCAGTCAAGAGGCAACTCTGGCGGAGGAAGATTTGGCCGTGGAGGCGGGAGATTCTCTGGTGGTGGCCGTGGAGGCAGCTTCGGTGGTGATGGCAGAGGCAGAGGCAGAGGCGGAGGCGGCAGAGGGTTTTCTGGGAGGGGAGGCGGCGGCAACAGATTTAACAGGAGGAATTAGAAGCTACTGCAGTCTTCTAATGGACATTTCAGAGAACTATGTTGTGTTTGACGTAGTTTTGAGGAAGAGGGGGAGGGAATAGTCTCAGTTTTGGCTGCAATTGTATCGGCTTTTGTTTATTTGTTAGTGTTCGTCAACGAGAATACGACACTCATTTTGGCCAACGCAAGAGAGTACGTTTTTTATGTACTCGAAATCAACATTTATGTTATTAAGTAACGCTATATATGTATTGTTTGAACTTGACATGGGTGCGGATTTGGTCTCCTGTGGTCAGAAAGTATATAGTTGCTATTTCTGTCTGCGTCCAGACGTTTTGTTTAGAGACCGGGATGTGTATTTTACTCAATTTTTTTATTATATGGTACCATATTTTATATTCTCTTTTGTATTTCTCTCACATATACTTACTATATCTGGGTCCACCATACCACTACATAAGCTCCTGTGAGGCTGTGACAATATTGCTCTCATCCATTTCCTTCACATGAGCAAAAGTAACGATTAGCTTGTCCTAAAGACTATTATTGTACTTTCCTGAACTTGTGGCACGAGTGATCAAACCTAGGAGAAACCGCTCACTTTATAAGATAGTACTAGTAACAAACAGCACGGGGAGCATGCCAAGGGTATCTTCACGCTGAACGAATCGTCCTACGGATTTCATGACATTCACTAGAATAATTTCGTCAAATCCTCGAAACGAGGCTTCAGCTATCAACAATGGCGTTCTCGCCACGAAGGGCTGGGCCTCGACCCTCGACCAACGCACCAACCCAACCGACACGAACGCGTCGCTTTGTCACTCGGCCTTGCGCCGTTTGCCATGCGGTGCACGAGCACGACGACGTCGACTGGCCATGCAAGGCCAATCATTTGCGTTCATCGCTATAGGCCGTGCCATCTCGCGCGTGCCACGTTTCTTAGACGACGCGCCGGTGAACGACTGACCATCACGGCACGAAAAACAAAACGAGGGTACCCTTTAGCGGAACGAAACTGGCACCCAACAATTAGGTGCTGTTTGGTTTAGGAACTGTAACGCAAACGCCAATGTAATCAGAAAGCAGTGCTAACGACAACAAAGTAACAAATCAGTGCCTTTGTTTGGTTTCTGCAGTGTAACCTAAATGGAATCAGAAGCTGCCCGGCGGCAAGCAGTCCGGCCGGTGTGAGAGCTCTCAGCAGTCATCAAGAAGCACAAGCCCTACAGAGTTGAAGACCATGACCAGCACCACCACCGCGCTGCTAGCCTTGGGTTGAGATGCATCTGCACCCGCGCTGCTGCTGCCCTAAGCCCACCAGCCGCTGCAGATTCGTCCTTGGAGATGAATGGGGCAGTAGTCTCGCCGCTGCCGTCCTTGCCAGGTGCGTGGGCTTCCTCTGCGCTCTCACGGGTGGCGACGAGATTGGGTGGAGGGACGGACTGCGGCGCTATTGACGAGTCGCCATGAAACGCCTTGCCGAGATGATAGAAAATGAGAGTCGAAGACGATGGATGCGGGGTGCCGTGCTGGGCTATCCGGGTGTCGTGCTATCTGATTACGGAAGGTTGGGAGGCGTATCAGATTTGTATACTACGGTATCTGATTACAGGGGATCTGATTGCGGTTGAGGCGGAAACAAACAGGATTTAACGCAAACACTTAACAGCGTAAATGGATTACGTTACATAGGATCGAACCAAACGCTATCTTATTTGCAGCAAGAAACAGACCCAGCCATGAATCCATCCAAACGGAATGGCAATGCCGCTTTATGATGCGGTTCCGGGTTCCCATCAACAGAGTCCAGAACGACTGGCAAACAGAGCGCTGCTTTCTCGCCGGTGCGCCGTTGGTGGTGCTGGTGCCTCGCATCGCACGCACGTCGCAGTTCCGTCGCTTGGGGCTGGGACGACCAGGACAGGGACGACGCCGACTGCCCACGCACCACCAATCCACCATTACTACACCAAGCAATCATGCCCCCTTTGCGCGCCGCGCTCGCCACGTCACATCGTGTTCGCCTCGACGAAGGGGTCGTAGTGGAGGCCCACCGCCGAGAGCAGCGGCGGGCCACGCCGCGCCGCGATCCAGACCCGCACCGTCGTGCCCGCGACGGGGCGGGGCAGCCGGTGCAGCCGCTTGTGCCCCACCGTCGTGCCGTTATTACGGGCGCGCCGTCCACGTACACCGCGTGCCGCTCCACGCGCTGCCCCAGCGCCACGTGCTCCTGGATCCGCACCACGTTGAACGCCTGCGCGCCCGGCCCCGGCCGCCGCAGACGCAGCTCGATCCAGTACCCGTTCCGGCGCCCGTCCTCGCCCGTTGGCGCCCAGTACGTGTCGTCGCGGCCGTCCAGCACGTTGCGCGCCGCGAACCCGGCGCCGCGCTCGCTGCCCGCGGCGAGGTCCGTGCCGAAGATGGTGGCCACGGCGGCCCCGAACTCGCGCAGCCGCGCGATGTCGGCGTCCTCGACCAGGCCAGTGGAGTTGGGCGGCGCGTTGAGCAGGAGCACGCAGTTCCGTCCCACGGAGTTGTAGTAGATCTCCAGCAGCTGGCTCAGCGGCTTGGCCGTCTCGTTCTTGTGCCAGAACCAGCCCGTCCGGATCGACACGTCACACTCCGGCGGCACCCAGTGGGTCGCCCTCGTTCAGGTACCTGCACGCACGCACGACAATGGATCATGCATGTTCTAATATATTAGTCCATCGACACCATTGGCAGAGGATGCTTCGTATTATACGTGTGCACTGCACGTACTTCTCGATGCCGGCTTCGCCGATGGTGATCATGGAGCGGTTGACGGTGGACCAGCAGGTGGTTCCGGCGTAGCCCTTCTCGTCGCCGACCCACCGGACGTCGGGCCCGTCGTCGGAGAAGATGTTGATGGAGCGCTGCAGCTGCTTCACCGTCTGGAACCACTCCTGGAAGTGATACGTCATATTGGTCGCGTTCTTGCCCTTGGCGCCGTCGAACCAAATCTCCGACACGCTCCCGTACCTACCTTGATAGTTGATTTGCACACAGAATCATCATGTAAGGTGACAATTGCTACGCGATGCTCTGTTTGCTTGCATGGCCGCCGCCGGCCATGGCTCATGAGCAGATTGAGAGCTAGCGCAGCAGCTCGGAACGGAACTCACCCGGTGAGGAGCTCGTGGAGCTGGGCCTCGTAGTACTCGTTGTACGCGACCTCCTCGCCGTACCGCTCGTCGTGCCGGTCCCACGGCGAGAGGTAGAGCCCGGCGTCGACGCCGCGCGCACGGGCGGCGTCCACGAACTCCCTGACCACGTCGCCGCGGCCTCCGCGCCAGGGGCTGGCGCGCACGGAGTGGGCCGTGTACTCGGACGGCCAGAGGCAGAACCCGTCGTGGTGCTTGGCGACGAGGATGACGAGCGAGGCCCCCGCCGCGCGCGCCGCGTCCATCCACTGGGTGGCGTTGAGCCCCGCGGGGCGAAACAGCGACGGGTCCTCCGACCCCGTGCCCCACTCGGAGTCCGTGAAGGTGTTCATGCCGAAGTGGAAGAACATGATCACCTCGCGGCACTGCCACTTCAGCTGCGGCGCCGACGGGATCGGCAGCACCGGCAGCGGCGGCGGCGTCGCGCGCCACGCCTCTGTCGTGGAGACGAGGACGGCTACTACGGCCAGCGCCGCGGCGGCCAGGCACAGCAACGGACTTGCCATCGTGTCGACTGTCGACTGTGGTCGATGCTTCTCTGCTCGCGATGGCCAAGTGTGTGTAGCGATATATACTGGCCCGCCCAGGCCGGTAGGGAGGAGGAGATGCCGGATGCGTATGGGCCGCGCTGGGAGAATGGGATTCGGGCGGTGAGGAAGCCGCCGTTGGTGCACGACGAGCGCGTTCCCAAGGGGTGGTGGTCGCTTTGCCTTGCCTTGCCTTCGCGGCGCGTGCGTGCATCCGATCCGACGCTGCCGGAGGATTGTTTGCATGATTGATCACGACGGATTGATCTTGATCCTTGCAGGAACCACTGGCACGTCATTCGATCGCTTTCCCTCATTCGATCACGCGTCATTCTCGCCCGATTCCCTGATTCCCTCGTCCGATCCAGCGGCCAGATCAGACGAGGACCGGCTCCGCTCTCCTTGTTGCCAAGCCTGGCGTTCGTCGAACAGACCGATGCACCGGCCGGTTTGTCGCGCAGGCGCAGCTGTAGCAGAGCGTTTGCGTTTGGACGACGCTGTTGGTCACACTCGCGTAAGTGGTGATGCAGCCGAGGGCCGAGGGCCGTGGCCGTAACGTCGCTTTAGGTAGGCGGTCATCGGCTGGCTGCTCCGGCGTCCGGCGCTCGGCGCTCTCATGCTGGTGTCGCGGCGCGCGGGGCCTGCTGTTTCTCTGGTGTCCTCTGCCTAATGCTGCAGGAGTTTTGGCTGCGTCTCGGGTACCGTACAGGCAACTGATTTCTTTGTGCTGGTTTCCTCCTCTGGCTCTTCAAAACCTTTAGCAAACGGCAGAGATCATCTCATTTGCGTTGCGTGCAGTGCTTTGTCGTAGCTGCTTGGGCCTGCGAAGTGTTAACGCCACCAGCTGTGCTAAGTTTGCATACACTGTTTCAAGGATGGAATCTGAAATAGCCAAACACTGGGGTGCCAAGTTCTGCATTTCGGCGATACGATGAGATCATGAACCAGTTATTAATAAAAAGTTTATGGCTCTACATCCTGATGTGATGTCGATGGCCCAGCACCCTGGTACGAATGTGGAGTCGAGGAATTACAACGTACGACAGGCGAGTTTTGTTTCGAGTACTGAACGTCCCTCCACGCACTTGAGGACACCTCATCAGTCGTGTTTGGGCACTTTGATGATGTGAGCGAAGAATAGCACGCAAACGGGCAAGACTAGCGTCCGGACGCCTGCGCCTGCTCTGTCCTAGTCTCTCTGCTTCGCGTCAGCTCCGCTTTCTGCGCCCGTGTTCGAATTGCTCCCTTCCACGCCCATGCCGTCCACATGATTCGGCCCCGTCTCTTCCATATCGGCGCCTCGCCCGCCTCTTCCACGCCGCGTGGATGACGCCCCAGCCTCTTTCACAATGGTGCCGTGTGGCCTGCGCTTCCTCCACCCATCGACACCGTCATGGCTCCCACGCTAGCTCTCTCTTCCTCGCTCAACAATCCTACATACAGATCTACTTTTGCAACAATCAGATGAAATAATTGCAACATACGTCTGCAACAGATGAAACATCCGGAACATACGTTTGCAACATAGCCATTGCAACATATGCAACATCCAGATAAAACACTTGCAATATGCGTCTGAAACAGATGAAACATTTTGAACAAAGTTTTGCAACATGTGTGTATAACCAATGCAACATGTGCAACATGCGGAAACTACTATTGCAACATCCATATGAAACATCTGAAATACTTGAAACATGCGTTTTGCAACATTGGGAAGGCCGGCACCGGTCGATTCCAGGCATCGGGTGGGAGCCGGCAGCGAGCGAGGGCGCGCGAGCACCACCAGCACCAGCACCAGCGGCGGCGCACAAGCACCACCATCATCGGCACCACTAGCACCGGCCTTGGCTCGCCCGAACAGGCTACACGCGCAATGGGTGGGAGTAGACTACGCGCGCGATGGGAGGGAGTGAGCAAGGCGGAGTAGGGCGGGGCGTGGGGCGCATGACGTGGGCATGCGAAGGCGCGCTGCACGCAACGCAGGTGAGCGGGGCGGATGGGTCGGTCCGTCCATCCGGACAAACGCCCGTGGCGTGATTTATTGCTAACTTATTTACCAGGAAAAGAATTGGATGGTAGTGCTTGCGTAGCTTTCTACTTCGGCTACGTTTATACGCTCGGCAACGGAAGACGACAAGGCCGAATTGTTTATTAGTTAATCTTTTTCTTGAGAAATATTCACATTCATATATCTGAGGGACTTATTTCCGTCTTCAAACCCCCGGAATCGTCATCATAAACCCTAGTGCCGAGGTTACATATCTCGGCGCCATAGCATATGACGCCGAGATTCAAGAGTAGCGGTGGTGTGACAACGGATGTGGCACTGATGTGGCCGAATCTTGACGTTAGAATGTATTACGCCTATCTCGACACCAGGTGCGCCATAAGACAAGGAAAACAATGCAGCGGCCGCTTGCATGCACAAATAACGAAGTCATAAAGCTTAGTACATCTACTCTAGGATACATGCTATGCTACTCAGGTAGCTAATCTAGGGCCTCTTTGGGACAGCTATAGATTAACCAAAAACAGTTTCAATTCACGAAAAGTTACCTAAACGGTCTAGCTCCACAAAATCCCAAACTCTTGAAGCGGTGCTCCACCAAACTCAAATTACTTAAGTTAGGATAAATTATCCACCACTGCTACAAGTTACACACCCCCATCTCACCTGCCGATTCGTTTGTTTCGTTTCGTTTCTTTTCCTTCTTTCTCGAGCTTTTGGGCCGTGCCTTCCCGAGTCCGACCTTGCGCCATGGCCACACCCGGCCATCATGGCCACACCTCGCCGCCAGCATGGCTCCGCCCTGGCGAGGCCGTGCCCACCCGACGAGGCTGCACGCCCGCCCGGCCGACCCCAGCCGCCTCCGGCCCACCCTAGCACAAATATGCATAGAGCTAGCTCACATGTCAGATGCCTAGAAGCGTTATATAGATAGCTATAACATCCAAAAGCATCAATCTAGCCCAGCACCAACTTTTGTAATAAAGCTTTTACGAGCTTTCCATGAACTTCTCTTGTTATTTATCAAAAAAAAAAAGTGAGAACAAAAGAATCCAACTACTTGTGCTAGGTAAACCACGCCTTTCCATGAACTTCTCTTTTCTTCTGATAGCACACAGAAACTATTCAGCACAAATGAATATAACACACCCTAATCGCTAGAAATTTTGTACTCGTTGAAAATTATTTGCGCACGGGAGGAGAACCAGCTTCTAAAATTATCTGCTACCATCTCTTGTTCATCTCTCTTTAGAAATTTACATTTGCTTTTAGTAGTAGGAATGCAAATCGCAATGCACTTCTTACAAAGTTACAATATTGTTCTTCCAGAACAACTGACTGCAGGTTGGAAGCTCGCTCCATCACGGTTCCTAAAAATGTGATATGATCTTCAGTAGCACTGGAACCATCAAGCCGAAGTACTTTCAGAGACAAACGCTTGGACAAGTACGCGCACGCGCGCACACACACATTTCCATGGTGCATTAGTTCTTTCTCCATATATCTCATTGACTAAAGTCCACTATCGGTCCTCGAACTTATTTGACTGTGTCATCTCGGTCCTTAAACTTATAACTTATTCATTTATGTCATCCCGGTCCTCACGAATGCAAATATGGTCAAACACCTGCACACATAAAAAATGAACATGTTATTATAAAGGAAAAATGAAATAACATAGAATAGTCATAGTACTTTATATTCAGGGAATAACTGCAATGAGCACCACACACTTTTAGGCTGTTCGTTTGTTGCTTTCAAATCGGGGATTATCAGCCAGCCAATAGTATTTTTTCTCTCACAACAAATCAGCACCAGCCGAGTTTATCAACCCAGAAACCAACCAGCGAACAAACTGTTTATATGCATGCATGCGATTGAGTATTGAGCGTAGAAGAAAAGGATGTTGAACTTCAAATACCAATGCAACCTTACATGATGTCAGTGTCTATCTGTTTCTTGAACCTTATTCAATTTTATATTTCACAAAGGAAGTTGATTTTAACTGCTTGCATATCAAGGGTATCTACATGAGGGAGCTTTTACTTCAATCAAGTAAAATAAACTTCAAAACATGTTCAAGATTTCACATAGTAAATCGTTATAGCACATTGTCAGACCTATAAATATTGGTTGTAGTTTAAAGTTTAAACCATATGAAGAATTTTACAAGCCTGTTTGGAAGATTGTTGGAGCAAGATAGTCACGTTATTTTAGCCTACAAACTACAGATTATATGTGGAGCTGGGTTGTGTTCACCACTCCTAGAATATAACTTTAAATAAAAAAAGGATGGAAGATACTAAGGTTTTCAACTAAACCTGGCTATGATTGAGTAAAGGTGAACCCTGCCAATTTTGTTAAGTGTGCTTTTCCAGCACAGGAATCACTCAGACTAATCCAAAAAAACAAAGCTATCAGAACCAGAGAGAACACCAGGGCATTTTAAAATTTTAAAAAGCATCGGCTAAAATAATAATAATAAATAAAGAAAAAAAATAAAAAGTACCTGAACATGTAGTTTCTCGAGGTACGGTGAAGCTTCAAGAAGCGCTAATTGTCCACGATAGGTCGAATTCAACAAATATACCCTGCAGGCTCACGGGCAAAGCCTATAAGCAGCTCACTGGCTCGCGTTTGGTGCATCCCGCCTTCGGATGGATTTGGAAGTCTTCTTGTCAGAACAAGCACAGGCACAAGGTTTTTTTCTGGCTCCTTGCTCATGATAGACTCAGTACGCGTAATATCCTACGAAGGAAGAACATGCATCCGCAATCTTTCAGTTGCGTTCTCAGCAATGGATCGGTGGAGGAGACGGTGGAACACCTGTTCGGATGTTGGAATCTTGTTGGGCTGACTATCCCACGGTCCCAAGGACCGTTTCAGAGGTCATCATAATTCTCTGATGGAGTATCTGGACGACTAGAAACAACCTCATTTTCAGGTGTGAGGAAGCTACAAGAGATCGATGCAAGTGTATCTTCAAGAACATCTTCAGCCTAATTACACTACGTGCGAAGAAAAAATACCTTCTAGGAATTAGTTCATGGTTAGAGCAAAGATTGTAATTAACCTTATCTTGTTTGTCTCCTTTTTTGCCCTTTCAATAAATTTGAGTAGGGGCTCAAGCCCCTCCTGTTCTCTCAAAGAACACTTTGACCGAGAATAGAAAAGTGCAAGATTTCTCTCTTAGCAAATGAGTTTGGAAAAGTAGCTCACGGATCCTATATATGGGGAAAAAAGTGCTAGATTTCATTCATTGGAAATTGAGTAAGGAAAATTAGCTCACGGATCCTATATGGAAAATGTGTTTCCTAAGATTCGATTCTCTAGGGAAATATTTTATCATAGCAAATCAGCATTTTACACACAATTTGTATTTGAAACCAAATGCAAAATTAAAATTAAAATTTAAATATGAAGACATGGACGGTACCATAAGCATTGCATTGACATCCATTAACCCATACGTTGCATTGTCACGATATATGATTAAGAATTTATGATGGTCCCCTAATACATATGGACTATACAAACTGTCACATAACAATCCAACATTAGTTTCAAAAGGGTATGGATATCCCAATTCACAAAAAAAAAAAAAAAAAAAAAGAGGTATGGATATCCCTTGCTACATTCTGTCCAAGCCATGTTTCGGCAAGAAATTATATCAAAACAATGGAAAATCATCCAGCGGAGGAGTGTAAGGGTTCCACAATTAAGACTGCCGCCAAGAATAATTAAGTTCAGCATACTGTTTGAAAAGACATAATAATACAGGTTCCTCAACGTGTAAATTCCAAACCAAAAAAAAAACATTTGATACTATTCATCACCGAATAAGACACACCACATGTTCTATTGACTTTTAGTTCCCAAAATTATATCTGAACATTGCAGTCAGGCATGTCTCTAATCAGCTGCTCAACTGCAGCGTCCTGCTCCGCCCTTTCCCTTTGGAAACACCCGTTCTGGTGGTAATCTTTCACAACGAGGAAGTGCACCTATCTCGTCACAGTAATCACAAGGCTGGTAATGTTTTAGGACAATGGTTTGTAGGTTGGAAGCTCGCTGCATCACAGCCCTTAAAAGTGCTAATTGTTGCTCCATTGGGCTAAAGCCAGTAACCTGCACCTCTTTCAATAGCCATTCCTTACAGCTTTTGAACTCAGCTATGTTCCATGATGGATTTGTTCTTTCACCATAAGTTTTCCTTCTACCTTCTGTGTCTACTACGCATGGATGTTCCCATATCTGTACAGAATGGTACATAAAAAAGAGTAAATTCCTTTAAGAAAAGAAAATAATTGTGGAACTTTGGTTGTAACAAAACCACCACACTGCCCTCCAAATACAGAAAGGTTTGAACCAACCTTATCTTGTAAAGGAAAAACATTTAATAAATAGAAAACAGGCAACTACCTCAATATCAAATATCTCAACTGATGGCGCGCCTTCAAGGAGAACCATCATCCATAACAAATCGAATTCAACAAAAATACCATGTAGAGATAACTTCCTTAGCTTCTTGAATGCAGCGCAGAGCAGCTTCCCTTCCGGTTTTATCCAAAGCTGAAGAAACATAGATGCAGAAAACAACATGAATAATTAGTTGGTTAATATGTTTTCCATATCATGCTCAAATATGTCAACCGTTTGATATTTTTTATTTATTAAATCAGCTAAATACACCCAGACAACAGTGCACGAAAATGAGTGTGTGTTTACCTTTTCTCCTCTGAAATTTAATGTTATGTATAGCTGTTGTATCCTCAGAACCTTACTCAAATCAAACCCTTGATGATGAACTGACGCACCACATATGACGTTCAATTCCTTAAGGAATGGGGCAACACCAAATGACAGGGGTGTTAATGGAAACATCCAAATATCCCAACGAAGCTTCTCTAGTTTTGGAAGACAGAGCACCTCAAGCTTCCCCAAGCAGCAGAAGTCAAGTTCAAGAAGACTAAGCTTGAATCCGGTGCTTGTATCTTCCAAGGCGAGAGCCCCCTGCATCACAGTTGCAGAGGGAGAGATGCTGCAACTGCTTGCAACAGTCAAATAAAAGGTGATGCAGATCCCATTCAGCAAAACAAACATTGTATAGTTCCAGTTTTGAGAGGCAACGGAGCACACTAGGATAGGCACTGAAGAAGCCGTCCACAGTGCGAGCTTGCTGGCGCATTTCCTCTTCGTAACAGTCATCAGGCTCCTTCTCGTCCAAAATGGCCAGGTCTAAATCTTGTAGAGTCCCAGTCTCAGTTGCTTGACTAACTAGAGGGCCAATGACATCCGAGTAAGTGTTGACCAGATAGAGCTTGAGCTGCAGCCTTGTGATGGTGGCTTCGCCCGGGTAGTAGCCCAGAAGCTAGTGGCTGCTTTGGTCAGGGAAGCCATTGCTTCATCCATATGCCCAACTTCAATGGGGTTTGGGGGAGGAACAGATAGGAATTCCCTGACATCAATTGTGAGCTCACGGAACAACCACGGCAGGTGTTTCCACCGCGTGGATAAGACGCTTGTCCTTGTGGCCGTAGTTATGTCAACTCTCTCCAGAATTGAGAGTAATACATCATCAGTCAGCATGCTGAGCCTATCTTCATCATCCGATTTCTGAAAAGGAAAAGGAAAGAAAAAAACAGATTGAGCCTTTATAGACCTACCAGGCTACTGGTGATAATTAATAGCACAAAAAGAGTGTCAATGACTTACCTGAATATATCCATTATTTAGCTCCATGATGATTAATTTGTCTGGCTTTCAGAGCACCTGAAGACCGAAGGCACGACCCTCAAGAGTTTGTTTGTGAACTCCGGAATCCTCGAGGCCAACAATTTTATCCTTCCAAACACCCAACGCTACGACCCTTGAGAGTTTGTTTGTGAGCTCTAGAATAATACACCCGAAGTTAGTATACACATGTAATAATTAGATTCAGATCAGATCCGAATACGAATGGTAAGTTAGGGTTTGGGCGCACGGTTTCGCACAGCAGGAAGGGAAGACCGACAGCCTGTTCCTTTAGTCGTATTTGACTTATACGAACAATATTTTTCTCTCGTATCAAACCAGTCAACCGTAGCCATGGCTCCAAACCAGCCTAAATGAACTGGAAAGGGGAGGGCGTACCTGGTGGTGCTCGTCGCCGGCGAAGGGGCCGAAGTAGCAGCGACGGCCGGCCCAGTCGGTTGGGGGTTGCGCGCACGCTGGGAGCGACGGAAGAAGACAAGGCAACGTTGCAGCATACAGCCACCCGGCGCCCCGTGCACCGCCCGCGCGCTCGCCACCCAAGCCCAAGAGCCCTGCTGCTGGCCGACGGAAGGCTGCTGGCTGACCGCCGACGGGAGGGAGAGAGTCCGCGTCTCGCCGTCTCGTGCAACGAACCCGAGTAAATTGAGGCCGGCCCGCTCGAGTCCGCCACGTTTTGGTCCGGCCCGAGCCTAAGCCACGAGGACACGGAGAATCGTATTGTACGGCAAAGTCTGCAACACCCGAGGGCGCTTAATTACCCGCGGTCTTTTGAAGAAAAAAAAACGTACTACCGCCCGGACGTCCACGGTGCACGCCTGTGCTAGACGGGGACCGCCAGCGTCGCTTTCTGCGTCTTCAGCCGTCCAACGCTCCATCCCAGCGCTTACCCCCACACGCAAACACGACATGCCAGTAGCTGCAGCACGCGACTATAACTGGTGAGTCATATTGTAATATATATAATATCCGACCAACTTTCAAAATATTCATATAAAATTTTTGTATCGTACGGCTGAAAAAAGATGAAACATTTAAAACATGCGTCTGAATCACTCACGAAACACCTAAAAACACTTAAAACCATTGCAAAACATATGCAACACCCTAAAAACATTTAGCGCGCGTTTAGTTCCCCAAAGTTGGATTTTGGGGCTACTGTAGCACGTTCGTTTTTATTTGGCAAATAATGTTCAATCATGGACTAATTAGGCTCAAAACGTTCGTCTCGTAATTTCCCACCAAACTGTGCAATTAGTTTTTTTTCGTCTACATTTAATGCTCCATGCACGGACCGTAAGCATTCGATGCGACAAGATCTCAGAAGCAACTTTTGGAATTTGAGTCCAACTAAACAAGGGCTTACAAACATATATGTGAAACATACATAACGTTTAAATAAAAACACTTGCAACGACGTTTGAAAAAAAACAAATTAAACATTTGAAACAGATGCTTGAACATACGTGTATAGCCATTACAACATATGCAATATCCCGATCTACTTTTACAATATCTACTGAAACACTTGCAACATACCTCCGAAACATATGCAACAATTGAAACATGTGTTTGCAACATAGGGAGAGAACGAGGCCGGTTATGGCAGAACCGCCTAATCTAATGCCTCCCAGGAGTGCTCGTCTTCCATTAAACACTAAGCCCCCAAAGGAGGACACTAAATTACTCGGTTTCGTCGGGCACACCCCAGGGGAGAACCCGAAAATCCATATTTTCGCCATCATAATCACAAATGAGAGAATAAAGCTTACATCATTCTTAACTACTTCTTACATCATTTTTAGTACAACATCGAGTATAATATTTATTTATTATAACAATGGAATGTAATTATATTATCGAGTTATGAATAACTTAATGTAACAATGAGAATATAAACATGTTAATGAGTTATGACAATTTAAGTTAACAATGAATGTAAACATGTAATCGTGGATTACAATGAAATAAATATCTATTTATGACATGTTGAAGTGTTGATATATAACAACTATGACAACAGATTATAAACTTTCATTTATAAAAACATTTGGTGAGAGTTGTAAATAAAAACTACGATCGCAACAGTAAAAGAAATCATCACGAGCCCATCGGGAGGTATCCACACACAAGGGTCAGCTTTAACCTTCACCTATCACCTACAACAGGGGGAATAAAACCCTGAGTACTTAATTGTACTTAGCAAGACTTACCCGATAGGAGGAAAGAAAAAGACTCCAAGGATATGCAAGGCTATCCTTATAGGAATTGTTATATCGCTTCACGTATGTTTTACTTAGACCAAGGGTATTTTATAGAGGCGGTCGGAGGTGGGGCACAACACACCGGAAGCGGATACGGTGGGGATGGGATACACAGACGGTGCATACTGTGGAGATAAGGTCGGGGACATGGTGCGCTTCTGCATGAAAGGCATGAGAGAAAAAATAAAGGAGAGGAGAGGGGGTCTGCTCGTCGAGGCAGGCGTGTGGGCGGTCGTGTCCACAAAAAAAGAAAGAAAGGAGAGGGAAGGGGGGTCCGGTACAAGGAACGATGGTGCGGGGTAGAGAGCCGACCAGACGCCAGGAAAAGGAAAAGCGCACAGTGCACAAGAACGGCGAGCACGGCACGATGCCGAGGCCACGCAAAATAGGGTGCTACAGGTCCCGACACAGGCGGCGTTCGTAGGGCACGCAGCGAAATACCCGGCATGCGTAGCACGGTTAACTAAACACAGGGCTTGGGACATGACGTCCACTCAGGCTTTTACGACTACCCACGGCTAACCTTCCTTACTACTCTTCTTTTTCTTTCTTTTACTCGACCACATCCGTCTTTCATGTAGACTGAGACCATGTCATACTTTCTTCCTCCAAAACCATCTCCTCTTGGTTGCTAGAGAGAACACTTCTACACCAACCCGCTGTGGATTTCCCGTTTGAACACCTGAACATTTTCAAGGAAAATATTTTGTGGTAAAAACGGTACGGCGGTGTAACTTGTTAAAGGTACTTGGTCAACAACATCGATACCAAAGACGTGTTGAAAGCAGCGGCGTCACCATGTGGCACTGTTTGTTCCACGAGAGAACCCTCGGTTTCATCGCGGCACCATAAGCTATTAACCAGGCAACTACTACCAACTTATACGCCATAAAGGCGGTGAGGTCATAGACCACAGAATAAGGGGAGTGTTGCAATGGAAGATTCAAACAACAAGGGTTCCCTTCACAACAAGGGACAAGGAATTCAAATCCAACAGCGGATTTGTTTTAAAGAGATTCAAGTGTTCTGCTGGGACATCCACAATTAGTCGATACAGTGTCCATTATTATCCAATCACGGCTGGTCTGTTGGCATCTGAATGTCAACTTCTCTTGTAACCCACTTAATATTGCCCTTGAAAACTTTAAGCACGTCTAACGAACTTAAGGTAGATGAACACAATAAACACAGCGAACTAAATAAAATGCATGTTCCAACGGTCTTATACTGGTACATCATACAGGCATTCAGGCTCCCATGCATGATACAACATTCACCTTCCCTACTGGCGGACGATCTCAACAACTACGGACGGACAACAACGGCAATAATACAATACCAGAGGACAGCAACGAAAAACACTACTACTACTACGGTTACAACATCCCAAGGTAACTAATTTACATCCTCTCGTGGCAATGGCTGAGTGAGAGGAATCAAGAGCTCAACTTCTGACACTTCCGAGGGTGGAGGTGCTGGCGGTGCTGCAACACTAGTTCTTTTTTCTGGCGGGTGGATAGGGATCCCTTCCAAGATCAGGGCATCACGCCTTTCAGCAGCCAACGTCCTCCGCTCGGCCCTGGTGACAAGACAGGCCACCCGTAGCTGATGGACATGCCGATCTTCAGCCTCCTTTAGGGCTTCCAACATGGCAGTTTCCTGGCTCTCAGCAGCTGCAGCACTGGCATGCGCTTCGACGAGCTGCACCTAGAGCATCCGGTTGAAGACCTCGGCCTCCCCGACGCACCGAAGGCACGCCCCCAGTTCCAAGGCTTGACGGTCGTACTGCTCATCCAGAGCGAGCAGGTATGTGGTCAAGTGCACCACGGTGGGACTGTCCTCTTGCGCATCCCTCCCTTGCAAAGCCTCCATGCGAGCCCTCCATGCCCGTCGATTCTTGTCCAAAGAAGGAAAGAACCGCATGGGGGTATGGGCAATGGGCTTCTCATAGGTCTAGCAGAGGTACCGCAAAGCTTTGCGGGCCACAACCTGGTAGGTGTCGACGAAGCGAAACCCGGTTATGGTCACACTCCAGGCTTCAGTGAGGTCGAGGAACTCTTCACTCTTCCTGATGTAGACGGTAACCTCACACCGCTCGGTGCCATGCTCCTCATACTCACGGCCCTCATACTCAGGACGATCTCTGACTCCGAGGTTTTGCACGGTGGCATGCAGGATTCTAGGAAAACCCTCAACGTTCAGGCAGTAGGTACTAACCCAGGCTCCTACCATCTCAGGCGGTGGTTGCAAGGAAGGCTGAGCGAAAAGCTGGCTCAAGGAAAAGCTAAGCGAGCTAAAGTGCGCCAGTGGTGGTACCAATGGCTAAGCCGTGCTCTACTTATAAAGGCGGAGCATTCGGTGGTCTGGCGCGGTTCACCGAGGTTCCCAGCGAGATCACTACGACGGATCGACCAAATTCCGTGCGTTCTAAACCGACGTTCGAGGCCATTCATCGACTAGTACGATTGCAGGGCAAGAGTCCGACAAGAGCGCAGAGAAAAGAGATATGGGGAGACGTGGGTCATGACCGGCGTGAACTACTGGTGAACGCGAAACACGGCCACGATCTGAGACCTAACTCGGGAATAGGAACAAATCCGTCGTGCACAATACGACACGTGTGACACCAATGAATGGCGTATCTGCAAGCAATACGGCACGACAATGCACAAACAGGATATGCATGAATACACGCCTTATACGTCCTTCCACTGTTGCCAACATATA